AGCAAGTCCTCCCTGTGAACCAGCACCATGCATGAGCTGCTACCATTGGGGGACAGCCAGACCCAATAATAAATGGTTTCTTTAATAAATGGTGCTTTAATAAAAATTGGCTCTAGATGGCAAAAACTAGAACTAGACCTATGCCTATCACCATGTACTAAATTAAAGTCTAGATGGATCAAATATCTAAACATTAAAACAGAAATAGTAAATCTGTTGGAAGACAAAATAGGTAAAAATCTTGAAGACATAGGGGTAGGTAGAGAATTCATAAACAAGAATCAAACCACAAGTGAAACCCTTCCCAGAATCAATAACTGGGATCTTGTCTTATTAAAATATTTCTACATGTCAAAAGAAATCTCCAGCATAGTGCAAAGAAAATTCACATCCTGGGGTAAAATCTTAGTGAGCTATCCCTCAGACAAAGGAATTATGTCTACAACATGTAAAGAATTAAAAAAAAAATCAGACTCCCAAAATTCAAAGACCCAGTCCAAACGTGTGCATCTGAGATGAACACACAGTTCTCAGATGAAGAAATAGAAAGGCAAATAAATACATGAAAAAACATTCATTATCATTAGTCACTAGAGAAATGCAAATTAAAACCACACTGAGATTCCATCTTGCTCCAGAAAGAATGGTCAGGATAAAGAAGTCTACCAACAACAAATGCTGGAGAGGCTGTGGGAAGAAAGGAACTCTCCTGCACTGTTGGTGTGAGTAAAGACTGGTGCATCCACTGTGGAGGTCAGTCTGGAGATTCCTCAAAAAGCTGTGATTGAAAGTCCCATTTGACCCAGCTATTCCACTTATGGGCATATTCCCAGAAGAACTAAAAACATCATACCACAGTGATATATGTACATCTATGATTACAGCAGCACATTAATACCATATAGTCTCCCTAGTATAGGAAATGGTAAGAGTATAAAAGATTTTATGGCAGTCATAGTTTCCAATTATATTGCTTTGAAGTCTTATAAATGTTTTCATTCATTGGTTGGAATGGTTTTATTCTGTTTTGATTGATTCTATTATGTGTGATGGTATGAACAGCTACTTTGAAAAAAACAAGATATTATGGCATCCATTGTTGATTTACTATCATCCTGCTTTGAGGAACTACCATAATTTTGTTCTTCTGTTTCCATTGGTTCTATCCTGTTCTGTTTTATGAGATTTTAATTTATGTGATAGTATTAACAGATTTTTTAAGGAAAATGAGATATTATAGTAGCCATTGTTCATTTTATGTTATTTGGTTCTGAATTGCCTGTAATTCATTCATTCTCTTGAATGGTTTTATACTATTTGGTTATGCTTGATATTATGGTATGTGAAGGTATGGTTAACTATTTCAAAGAAAAGAAATACTATGGTGGTAGCTACTGTTAATATCGGGTTGTCTGGTTTTGAAGTGCTGTGTTGCTTGCATTGTTCTGTTCTGATTTGCTTTGTTCTGTTCTCTTTTGTTTTATTCTCTTTAAAATAAAAAATAAACAACTAAAAATTGAGCAAGATAATTCTAGAGCAGAGTGAATGATACATTAGGGGAGCAGCACGATGAAAAGGAACTAAGAAACCTCACATTGGAAAAGATGTGCAGGGAACAAGTGCCATGCGCAGGCCATCACCAGTGTGGGACAACCAGACCCAAGCCTTTCTCTGTGAGTCAGTGCCATTTGTGGGCTGCAGGAGTAGAGGACAAGGATTCACCAAGAAGCAAGCCCTCCCCGAGAACCAGCACCATGTGCACGCTGCTGCTGGCTTGGGGACAGCCAGACGCCAGCCCTTTCCAGTACATGGCCTGGCAAACAAGAAGAGCCAAGCCCTGCCACCATGCCCCTGAAGCAACCAGCTGATCCAGAGAACATGGGCTGTGATGACAGCAATTGAAGTGAAATGCAATTTGATGCTTGTGATGCTTTGGTGTTTCATTGACCTTGCAGGCCTCGGGTCAGTGGTCTGATCATCTATTCAGAGGATAGGGGTACACAGTGTGACATCTAGGGAGGATCTCCTTCAGAGGGTGGTATCCATTGTTAATTCCCTATTACCTTGTTTTGAAGTCCTGTATCATTTTCATTGTTATGTTGGATTGGATTGTGTTCTGTCTTGTTTTGTTTGATTTTGTGATATCTGATGGCATGAACAGCTATTTCAATGAGAGCAAGATATATTGTGGTAGCCATTTTGGACTTTACTGTTGTCTTGCTTTGAAGTTCTTTGTTACATTCATTGTTTTGTTTTTGTTGGTTCTATTCTATTTTGTTCTGTTTGATTTTTACTATGTCTGAGGGTATCTGCAGCTAGTTTGGGGACAGCAAGAGCATTATGGGAACTATTGTTGAGTTCATATTGCTTTGAAGTCCTGTGTAACTGGGTTTGCTTTGATTGGTTTTGTTTTATTTTGTTTTCCTTGGTTTCATCTTCTTGAAAAACCAAACAAAAACAACAAATTCTTCTCTGGAACAAAATGGATAAATGGTAGCATATCTGCACCATGAAATACTACACTGAGAGGAGAACAAATGCACTAGAGATCCATGTGATGTGGATGACTCTCAAAAGCAAATAAGACACTCTCAAAATAGTAGGTACTATATGACTCACTTTTTATAAAGTTTAAAAACAAACGAGGGTGGCGATAAACTGCAGAGAGGCTCTGAAACTGGTGGCAGTGTGAGGAGAACTGGTGATGTTCTGCTCCTTGATCAGAGAGGTGGCAGCATGAGTGTGTTCACTCTTTAAAATGCATGACTCCTTGCATTCATGATTTTTCTGAATATATAATGCTATGATCTCAATAACTGTCTCCCCAAAGGTCTGAATATTAAAGACTTTGTCCCCAAGCTGATGACATAGAGGGTGATATAACTTTTAAGAGATAAGGCTCAGGAGGAAGGCTTTAGGTCTTGACACCATTGTCTTGAAGGGGAATGTGTAACCTCAGCCCCTTCCTCTTTACTTCTTTTGCTTTCTGGCCATGAGGTGAAGGATTTTTCTCTCCTCCATGGTCCTACCATGATATTTTCCCTTGTCACAGGTCCAAAAGCAATGGAGTCAAACATGAAGTGGGATAAGCTAATTACCTCAAGTATTTTGTTGTAGTGATGGGAAACTAACTAACACACTTAATGCACCTCAGATCAAAGTTTATATTTAGAAGGATTGATTTAGAAGAACCATCATAACATGTTGAATGATTGATGTGGATGGAGAGTAACAGAAACAATCTAGTGTGGCTGATTTGGGCACAAGCAACTGCAGCAATGGAGTTGCCCTTTCCTGGATGAAAAAGGGTAGAAGAAGAACTGGTATGGGCAATGGAAGAAATCAGATTTAATTGTCAGTGTGCTGTGATGGAGGTAGTAGTCACCCAGATATGGAGAAGGGGGCAAGGAGAAGTCAGAGGTGGATGCTTATTCAGAAGTCCTTGCCTTGTAACTAGTATAATGAGATTAAATGAGTCTCAAAGAGAATGAATGTGAAGAGCACAGAGAAGGCCCAAGAACTGGGTGTGGGAAAGCTTAACCATTTAATGAGGTAAAGATGAAGAACCACAAAGAAGACCATGAAGGACTAGCCAAAGAGCTAGGAAGAAACCCAGGAGAATGTTGGTTCCATGGGCCAAATGGTTTTCAGGTAAAGGGAACAATGAACCATGTCTACTAGGTCACGATGAGGTCTGATTACTGACCCAGGCAACCAGGAGGCCATTGGCAATCTCATCAAAGGTGGTTTTGTGGAATATCATACAGGTGGTTTGAATGAAGCTGTGTGCTGTGCAACACGCCACTACACTGATAAAACAACAATGTAACCGAGATCCAGAATATGCAGCACTTCCATTGCAGCGTACTTCCTGATTTTTGTTTTATTAATAATCAATGTCACACAAATTACTAACACTGTTAGAGTATTCTGGCATAATAGAGAAGTAAAAGTACAAAATAAATAGGTTTACTGATTGTGGATGTGGGAAGAAGCACATAACCCATGTCAACTGAGCTGTGTTCTTCAACCAGATACAGAAAGGCACAGACCTCTATGATTCTTCTCTGATTGAAATGGCACATAGGGCAGATATTGATGTGTGAGGAACCAACTGGAATTCTCTGGGCATGTAAACAGGAAGGGAGCTGTAATTAGAGATGAAAAAGAAGCAGGAAGTGGCAAGTGTTCCAACTTTGGTCTTCAGTCATGTTAGGCCATGTCATAACTGTACAGTAGTTTCTACTAGGGCAAGAACCCTTCAAATACCTTTGTTAAAGTAAGAATCCTCTGGGTTAGGGCAGCGGCATAAGTGCCTGCCTTGCAGGCAGTCGTGAGTTCAATCCCTGGTACTGATAAAAAAGAAAAAGACAAAAAAAAGATATAAAAAAAAGTAAGAATCCTCTGATTTCCATCAGGAGGTTGGAGTTGTTTGGAAGCCCATGTCTCAGAGAGCTTCTGTTTTCATTTTTCATCTGTCAAAACAGTACCATACGTACAGAACATACCAGTGTGGAGTAGGAGTGGACAGATGGGAAGTGATCTGGGAAAACAATGAGCACAGAAAGCCCTTCTAAGAATTCTTCTGGGCAATGAGCAAAGAAGTGGGTAGCAGGTGGAGGAGATGGGCTTGGAGACTTCTAGATGGAAGCTATTGTGGTATATTCCTGGAGAGGAACAATGGACGTAGGAGAGAAGAAACAAGCTAAAGATAGGTAACTGAGCAGAAGACACTGTACCATGCCTGGGGAAGCACCTGCCAAATTGCATGAAGAGCAAATTAAGTGACCCCTGCAGATAAGTCCTTAGGATGGAGGCTGATAAGGGCTGGACTGCTCCTTCTTGTGCCTTTTTCAGTCAGGCCCCAGGGCATGGACTCAAAGGTTTCTTGTAGGAAACCAGGCTCTGCCTGGGCAGGACAAGGACTTGTCACTACTGGGTGGGGCCAGGTAGCATAAGGCCCTATCCTTAAAAGGCTCACACAGCCTGCAGCTCAGCAGAGCCCTCACAGCCTGAGTTTGGCCAGCATGGTGGAGTTTGCGCCTCTGTTGGTGCCTTGGGAGCGCAGGCTGCAGACTCTTGCAGTCCTACAGTGGATCTTCTCCTTTTTGGTCCTGGGTAAGGCCGGCTGGGAAGACTGGACATATAGGTTTTCTGGGTGGGGCAGAACAGCCACAAGTGCACACAGCGCATTGATAGTGACGACCCTGTAGAGGCTTTGCTATGCTGAGAGTCCAGACCTGCAGAGCCAGCTTAGTTCTGCCTGCAGCCTTTGATGGTGGGTAGGATCACCTATGGCTTTGTGCAGAGTTGGGATTTCCTCAGCTGTGCTTCGTGCTCCTCCTTGGTCTGGGAGGAGACCCTGCTACAGTCTGTTTCTGGGTGAGTGAGCTTCTGGTGATGCTGGGAACTGCTCCTCAGGCTACTGGCACAGGATGGGTTTTCATTTTCAGTCTCAGAAAGGGACAAGCTGGGAAGGGAAGAGGGGAACAAGGAGCAGACTCTGGTGATCTCTCCTTCCTCATCTGCAGAATTGAATAAGGAAGCTGCCCTCCTGGGGCATTTTGAGTGAGCTGAGGACAGATGCTGCCTTTGCCCAGCACAGATTTGGTGAAGCCCTGGGCTGGCCTCATGCAGGAGGGTGTGTTATCCCTCTGTCACTCCACTGCGGAAGGGAATTTTTTCAGGGTGAACTTGGGACAGTGGGTTGAGAAGGAGTGACTGGGAATGTAGGAGAGTCTTACTTTCCTCTTCTGCCACCAGACAGGAGAAATTTCTACCCACAGTGCTGGGGCTCAGTTTGTGCACAAGTTCTACCATCCTTGTTAAGATGTTGACATACCATGCACACATTGGTCAGTAGATCTCTATTAGAACTTCCTCAAAGTTTTGTAGCTAAAGATTCATCCCTGCCAAGCAGGCCTTCTGTGTCCCTACTATCTCTTCTAACTGATCTAATTGATCTGCATCTCCACCCTAAGGGATGTGAATTATTTTGCTTTCTATATTATTATATTGTTTTTGTTTTTGCTTTTTGAGGCAGGGTCTCTTAGCCCAGATTAGCCCTAAACTCTGCAATCCTCTAGCCTCAGCTCCCAGGGCTGAAAATACAGGCATGCACCAACACACCTGCTGAAACATTTAAATAAAGGTAGTTTATCTCCATGTTGCAGATGAATGGAGATGAATTCCTTAAAGGTTCAGGCTGCAGATTAGAATCCTGGGCTTCTACTCTCAGCAAAGGAGGAAAAGCTGAGGAGGCAGAGAGAGGGAGGAGAGGAGGCAGGGGTGTTGGGTGGAGGTATAGACTGTGAAGGCAGCAGGGAGAGGGAGACCTAAGCCCAGTCAAGTCAAAGTGCAGTGGGGCCCACAAGCAGGTGGGATGTGACCAAGGGATCTACGGGGTTGTGGTGCATAGTGCTAAGGCTACCTCCTGTGACCTTGGAGGACAGGACTATGTCTGACTGCCTGTGCCCAAACCCGCAGTGCAAGCCTATGGCACCAGCCTGCCCTCACTATTCAGAAGGCTGGGAAAGTCAGGAACAACCCCAAAAGTCACAGAAGAGCTAGGTGTGGAGAACTGGATGGAGGGCAGCTGAGGAAAAGGGTCTGGGCCCATTTGTGCTAAGACTAGAGCTTCCCTCATCCCTTGTCCTTGTGCTGAGAGCAAAGGGGAGCCTCCTGAATGCAGCAACAGAGTTGAAGCTCTGTGTTAAAGGTCCTTATGCCTGCCTCACAGGTGTCTGCTGTATTTGGAGTGTGGGAGAACAGAGACAGGCAGTACTCAGTCTAGATCATGGGTCACCAAGGTAGGGCTCATAGGTCACTACTTTTGTCTAGCCCAAGTCTAAGATGGCTTTTCACATTCTTAAAAGCATTATACTTTAAATGGCTGTGAAGTACCTAACTATGCAATATCCTTCAATTTAAGCTGCGAGATCTAAAATGTTTTTAAGGACAACTTCTGGTATAGGGGCTGGAAGTGAGGAGGTGGAAGGATCCCAAAAGATTCAAAAGTTATTTAGAGGCTACGAATCCTTGGGCACCAGCAGCAGGTGTTGGTAGAGAGGAAGATGAAGGGCAGGTGGGTGCTGGGTCCCATTCACGCTTGGTGGGCTGCCCTCACCAAATTCAGGCACTTGGGGGAAGGCCTGGGGATGTGAGGAGAAGAGGCTTGCTGTGTGACCTTAGCCAATCGTTTCCTCCCTCTTTGGGCCCCTAACATGGGCTTTAAATATTTCCCCCTCAGGTCTGTCAGGAGTACGTGATAGCAGGTGTCTGCTTCCTTAAATTCCCGAAACACCCACTCAGGGTTTGCCTGCTGCCCGCAATTTGGGTGAGCCCAGGGTCGGAGTGGCCTGGGCACAGTGTCACACGTGTGTCTTCTGGTCAACAGTAAATACCCTCTGTTTCTTTGTAACTATATTTTTTTTCTGAATGCAAAAGTAATGTATACTATAACACATTCAAACACAGTGTGTGACCTTAAAATAAGGCTTCCTACCATCTCACCTTCCAGATATCATTAACCAGGTGCCATTAACAATTTTAACTCTGTAGAGCTGGTTTTCTTCAACTGAGACCCATCCACAGACTTTGAGTTTTGACCAGGGGGAGAAAGTCTTAGGTTGGGTCATTATTTTTTGCATTTAAATATATGTTTTTACATTAAATATATGTGTAAAATTTTATCATTTCACATTTTATTTTAAACAGAAAAAATTTAAAAATAACAATAAAAGATAGTTTTAAAACAGGCTAGTAGAAGAATAACAATAATAAACACCTTGCATACTGTTATATTTTCAGTATTTTTTTTCAGTATTTCTTGAGAGTACACAATACAGGCATGAAATATGTTCTAGCAAATTACAACACAAAACTTTCCCCTGAATGAACCAAGAGAAACCAGCTGTACAATTATCTTAATCATCTTGCATTTATATATAATTTTTTCTTTTCCCTCCCTTCCTTTGCCTTTATTCCATCACCACTTTTCTTTTCTTGAATAGTTTCCTCCCAATTCACAATATCTATTACACATCTTGGATCTTGTTTACTTTTTCAGATCTCACAGTAGTGAGTCAATATGAGGTTTAAACATATGCGTGGATCTGTTATATTTTACTAATGAGCATGGTTTCAAGTTGTGTCCATTTACTTATAAAAGTCTCAAGCTTATCTTTCTTTATGACTGGGCAATACTTCATTTTATTTTTTTAAAAAACATCTTTTTAATCCATCCCTCAGTTGATGGACATTTAGGTTTTAGCCAAGATTTAGGGATTATAAATTGTACTGCTATAAACATGGGTACACATATATTGCTGTAGTGTGATGTTTTTAATTCTTCTAGAAAGATTCACAGAAGAATAGCTGGGTTGAATGGGACCTGTAATTCTAGTTTTTTGTCTTGTTTTGTTTTGTTTTTGATGCCAGAAATTGAACTCAGGACCTTGCGCTTGCCAAGCAGACACTACTAAAATCCTACCTTTCTAGGAAATCTCCACACTGATTTCCACGGTGGTTGTACCAGTCTACATTCCCACCAACAGTGGAGAAGGGTTCTTTTTTCCCCCTGTTACAAATGCCCTGTTGGCATTTGTAATTGGTTGATTTCTTGAGTTTCTTCTTTCTGGAGTTAGAATTTCATTGTTTTAAGTTGCATCTCTTGAATGACTATTGATGTTGAACATTCTTTCATATATCTATCTGCCATTTCTATGTCATCTGAGAAGTGCGTATTCATGTCAGACACTCGTTTTTGAATTGGTTCTTTGAATATTGGGGACCGGATGTGTGTGTGTGTGTGTGTGTGTGTGTGTGTGTGTGTGTGTGTGTTAGAGATAGAGTCTTGTTATGAAGATAAGAGTGTCCTTGAGCTCACATTGTAGCCCAGGCTGGTCTCAAACTTGCAGTGATCCTCCTGCCTCAGCCTCCTGCGTGCTGGGATTACAGGCATGCACCACCATGCCTGGCTAGGGGCTTGATTGTTTTTAGTTCTCAGTGTGTTCTAGGTCATTTTCTGAAGGACCACTGGCTATAATTTTTTCCTATTCTGTGGGTTGTCTTTTCACACTTTTCTCCATTCAGCATTGTCTTTTCACATTGTGGGTGATTTCTTTTGTTGTCCAAATCTTTTTATTTTCTCTAACAAAACCATTTTAATTCAGGGAGAAAAAATAGATGAAGAAGAAGAAGAAGAAGAAGAAGAAAGCTAAGACAAAATTTCAAAACAGTTTATTCAAGGGAAAAAGCTTTTTGATAAGGTGAGATCTCACTTGTTAGTTCTTAGTTGTATTTCCCATGGGTCTGGGTTTTGTTCACGGAGTCTCTGCTTACATTTATGTCTCCAACATTTCTACCTATTTTCTCTTTCAGTAGATTTAGTGTTTCTGTTTTGGATCTTTGATCCATTTAGACTTTTATTTAGTGCATCGTGATAGACATGGATCTACTTTTAGTCTACAGCATGTGGAAAACCAGTTTTTCCAGCAGAGTATGTTTTTTTCAGTGAACACATTTGGTTCTTTCATCAAAGATAAGGTGGTTTCGTGTGTTTGTAGTTTTCTACATCTTGTATTCTATTCCACTAACCCTCAGGTCTTCTTTTTTTTGCAAATACCATGCTGATTTCTATTATAGTAGCTTTTCAATATAATTTCAGACCAGACATTTTGATGCCTTCTGACTTGCTCTTCTTGCCCAGAATTGCTTTTGTTATTCTAGGTGTCTTTGTTTGCATATGAAATTTAGGAATGTTCTATCTAGCTCTATGATGTTTTGATCAGGAGTGAATTAAATCTGTATAACAGTTTTGGGAGTAGAGCTCTTCTCCCTATGTTGGTCTTTCCTGTCCACGAGCAAGGGACATCTTTCCATTTTCTAATATCTTCTTCCATCTCCTTTTTCAGTGTACTATAGTTTTCAATGTATAGACAATTTATTTCTTTTGTTAGAATGACTCCTCAGTGTTTCAATTCTTTGGATGCTATTGTAAAGGACATTAATTATACTTAATTTCAAAAAATGAACAAAAGTTAAGCCTCTCTGCCTTCTATCCTTGCTTGCTGGCATCCCATCAGCTTCCTCCAGATCAGCGAGGTCCTTCCCTCCCCTGTGCGTGTGTGAATGTCCTGTTTCATGTACATTTCAGTTCCACTCTTCTGCAAATTTCTCTTTGAAAATATTCATTATAAAATATTTAAGAAAACAAAAATGTAAACAACACCTGACCTGCTTTGGCTCCTCACTGTTCTCCACCCCTCGGAAAAAGTCAAGGCCTTTGGGATGATAGAGGCTGGGTTAGCACAGGACAAGAGCTGCAGGCTGGAAAGAAGGCTGGCTGCATGGAGGAGGGGATTGGGGAATGCAGACTTCCAATTGCCTTGCCTTCCTGTTTCTCAAGAGTCACCCATTTCAGCATTGGTATGGGAAGCCTCTCTCTATTTCACTAGTGAAAGGCTGAGAAATGTTTGCAAACAAGGACAAACATGCAAGCAGCCACAATGTCAATCAGGGGCTAACTGGATAAACAAAAAGTGGTATATACCTACTGTGGAGTATTATTCAGCCTCAAAAAGAAGTTGTGACACTTGCTGCAAAGACAAACTGAAGACATGCAGAGTAAAGCAAGACATTCTAAAGAGACAAATGCTCCCCGGGATGGTGGTGCAAGCCTGTGAGCCCAGCACTTGGCAGGCTGCGGCAGGAGGATCAGCACAGGGTAAAGGCCAGTGTGGACTACATAGTGAGAGCCTGTTTCAAAAACAAAACAAAACAATACAAATAATTCATAGTCCCACTTATACGCGGTCAAGGATTATGGTAACTTATAGAGAGAATAGAATGGTGGTTTCGAGAGGTAGGAGGAAGAGGGGAATGAAGAGTTTCTATTTAATGAGGACAAAGTTTCTCTTTGGGATACCTACAAATGTTCTGGTGGTAACAGTGATGATGGTTGCACAAATTATAAATGTTCTTAATGTCACTGAAGATGTTAAGATGTTAAATTTATTTCATAAATATTTTACCAGAATGAACAATTTTAAACAAAACAAAAACTAAATGCCCCAAGTGCAACCGTGGAAAGTTTCTTTGGTCCTGGTCCACACGGATTACCAGCACCTGGCACTTTGTAGGTGCTCCATGCAGAGCAACTGTTTGGGGGCCCCAGCCTACCTCTGCTGATTCTGAACCTGCACTACCATTCAGACCAGCTGCAAAGTTGCTTCTTCAAGGAAGGCTGCCAGTTCTCTAATTCCAAGTGGACCACCAGAAGCTGGCCTTCTTTAGGAGTATGAGGATGGGTAGTGGGAGTGCACCTCAGAGATAAAGTACTTGCCTTGCATGCCTGAGTCCCACAGTTCAATCCCCAGCATGGGACTGGAATAAACATGAAGTGGAAAAATGCATGGAGTGAATGGTGTGGGGACAGTGATATTCTCTGGGATTCATACTCTATTGGCATCAGATTAGGGATGGCCCACATGTCACTTGACCCTGAAATCAAACAGGATTAGCTGTGGCAAGGATCAGAAAGGATTTCCTTGCTGGGGCTGGGCCTGTCCCTGCTACACATAGGCAGGCAAGGGCTGACCTCAGCTTGCCTTCTTCCTTCACTAGGAAAGGGCACTGGAGGCAAAGAAGGGAGCTTGGTGGCCTAAAGGTTCTGAGCAGGTGCATGTGGCCAGAGGTTTGGGTGTAGAATCAGGAGAGGGAACAAGAGCAGGAGCGGACAGGGTGAGCCATGGGGAGTCCATGCCAGCTGAGCTGCTCTGGTTGTGCTGTGAGGCTATGGAGAAGCCATGGAGGGCTTTAGTAGAAAAGGGAACCCAGCCACACTTATCTTTAGTAGAATGAGGCAGAGAGTGGACACACAGGAACAGGGCAGAAAAGGGTCTCTCTTTCTGAGTCCTCAAAGATAGGAAGTAGAAGAGTTAATCCAATCAAGGCCCCCAGTACTGAGCAGCTGGCAAATGCAGACTGCCTGAGTGGAAGAGGACCTGTGAAGGAGTGACAGGTGGAGTCAGGCAGCCAGGTACTGGATGTGGTGGGGTGGGAGCATGATTTTGGAGTCCACCTGGGCTCAACCCATGCACCAGAGTGGCCCTGGGTTGGCTGTGCTCCCTCTCAGCACTCACAACTACTTCATGGAAGATGCATGGAAAAAACTGGGCTTCTTGCTGGGGTCAAGGACTGGACAGAATGGTGCTGCCAGGTCAGGCCTCATGGCAGAGACATTCTGGTCTGGGGAGTGTCCCTGTCTTCTTCATAGACCTGGGATCCCTGATGCTCTGCTTCTGTCTCCAGGCCTGATCTGCATCGGGGTCTTCGTGGGCCTCCTGTTCACTAGGTTCTGGCTCTTGACTGTACTGTACGCCTTCTGGTGGTCCCTGGACCGAGACAAGCCACGGCAGGGGGGCAGGCGTGTAGAGTTCTTCAGGCGCTGGGTCATATGGAAGTACATGAAGGACTATTTCCCGGTCTCGGTGAGTACTGAGCTAGTTTGAGGTGGGCAGAGGGGACCCGGACCTCCACCTCTCTGTGGGACAAGTGGCCCTGTAAAGAGTGAGCAGAGCACCAGGCTGGGAGACAGGAGCCTGTGCTTCCCCCATAATGTGGCTGGGGTGGGTAGGGTCCAGCTTGTCTCTGGCCATGGTTTCAGAGCTACTGGAATATGGGGCCAATGAGAGGAGTTTTTTTGTTGTTCCGAGGATCAAACTCACAACCTCACGCTTACTAGGCAGGCACTTATGCCCCTGTACTAAATCCCTCCCAGCGAGTGAGAGGATTTGAATGAGCTCTGTGGGATTCATCATGTCCAAAGCATGAACTATGAAAGCACAAATCCATCAGCAGCCCAGGTTTGGGTTACAGATAATATAGGCCTTCAGAGACTATTTACATCCTCAGATGAGAAGGCTGAGATGCAGAGAGGAACACAGGTGAGGCCAGTGTCACATAGCAAGTTGGCTGGCAAACACTGAAGTCTGCATTAGCACGTCTAAGGGAGGAGGCAATGGAGACATCAGAGTTTTTGAGTTCTGTCCTGTCCCTCCCTCTTAATACCGTGTATCCATGAGCAAGGCCTTGTCCAGTTCTGAGCCTAAGGCTCCCTTTGGATCCAATTTGCAGACATGTCCTCCTACTGTGAGTGCCCTCAGATTTCTGGGTGTCTGGCCTATTGGAACCCCAGGCTCTGGACTTGAAGACTGGTTCTGAATGGATCAGAGCCCTAGATTTGACTGAGCAGACTCTTCCAATGAGTCCAGACATACCAAATCCTGATTTAATCTAGGCAGCAAAAGCTTTGTTTGCCAGAAGGGATAGGATAGGAAGATCCTGGAGACACAAGAGAGGCCAGGCAGGCACAGCTGGCTCTCCTTTGGAAACAGAACAGAGGAAATGTGACCTCTGGAACCAGACACACTAGATTCTGATCTCAGGTCTGCCATATAGCACCTGTGTGACCTTGGGTGAGTTGCAGAGTCTGTCTGAGCCTGTTTTGTCACCTGTAAAATGGAAATGTTGCCAGACACTTCCGGGGTAGCATTTATGCAGTTGAGACAAAGAAGGCAAAGCACTGGCCAGTCCTCAAGACACTGGTTCAGTATTATTTCACTGAGTCAATGGGACTCTGAGGAACTCTGGGCATGGCTATGGTGGGAGGGGTCTCTGGGAGCCTGGTGCCTTCTCCTCTGCCTGGCTTCTCTCAGCCTGTCCACAAACCCAGCTCTTCCTGCCTCTCCAGGAATTAGGTCTCCAGTTGGGGAGAGAGTGGAGGAAATGGGTTCATAGAGGTTAAACAACTGCCTGAATCCCAGGCACTTTGCATCAAAATCAGGTATCTTGTCTGGGTTCCTTGTACAGGTCCTAGGCCCTCACAAGGCCTGGAAAGATCTGGGTGCCAGCTGTAGCCTCTATAGCTTTGTGAGTTGGGTCTCCAGGGCGAAGGCCAAGAGGGAAGGCCCAGATAAGAGAGTGGACTGGCTGAGATTGATTATCCATCATGGGTTCATGCAGGTCATAGGTGTCGAAGGGCAGATCACCTGAACTAACACGGGAGTCTTGTTATAACCTAAGGCCCCCTAACTATCGCGCCGAAGTCTGTTCTGTATAAGTGCCACCTGCTGCTTTCCCTCCCCTTCTCCCTTCCCATCTAACTAGGTTAAGTTTTAACTTCCCAAAAGGCCATAAAACAAAGGCCTGAGGTAATAGCTCCTGACAACCCCCTTCTCTAACTGGCAGTCGGTCACAAATTGTGTTAATTACATTAGGTTGTAATAGCTTCATTTATAGCATAGCAATACCTGTGTGTTCCTTTCCCTCTGGGCAAAGGATTGATATGTTAATCAATGATCTCCTCTGTAAAGAATTGTAAAATCTTACCTAATTGATATGTTAACCATTGTTGCCCTCTACAAATAACAGTTATAGTGCTAAAGTAAGGTAACTAAGGTTGTTAATTGCTGTTAGACTTCTCTATTCTTTGCTAAGAAAAACAAGATTTCTTCTTATCTAAACTTACTGGTATGCAGGGAGACTTGCAATTGCTGTTTCTGCTTTGTAGTGCGTCACACCCCCATCCCCTTCCTTACATTGTGTGACCAGCAGCTGTTTTGTGGATTTACACGATAAAAGACCTGACTTTTAGCTGTGAGGGGCAATCTCCAAATTGGCTCCTGGAGGCTGTGTCACCAGGCCTGGAAATAAAGCCTTTGCTTCCCAAATTTTAATTTCTTGCTTCCTTGAATTTCATACCAGGGTCCGAGTTATCACAGTCTCCCTTGGGGGCAGTTTTCCTCACCCTTCAAATGTGCTTCCTCTGCAGAGTCCACTCCTGGGATCCTGTCAGCAAAGACAAGTCAGGACTTGCTGGATCCCAACAGCAGTCAGGAGTGTGTCATGAGCAGAATCCCGTCCTTACCCCTGGACCTCTGAGCTTTGAGATCATGAACTCTCTTCCCTGCTTCACATCTCTCCAGGCTGGTGCTCCCCCACTTCTGTGCTGGGACTATCAGGCTTCCCCTGAGAAAGTATAGCCTGAGTGCAAAAGGACATTTTTATCTGCAGGGCTAATGGAAGGGATGCTGAGGAGGTGGCATTGGCCTTTCTGTTCCCTCTCCAACCCTTGAAGAAGTTTCTTAACCTCTGCACTGCTGACAATGGCAGGACATTAGAGTTGCTTTTGCAGAAATTAGTTGCACAGGTTTTCAGGTTTGTTCTACACCTCTTGGAACACCTCTGCCAAACATGGTCAGTACCACGGAGCGGCCAGTAGAGGGCAAAGGCTGTTTACGTTGGTTGGCCCCCACCTGAGCTGGGCACTGCAGGGCTGGGCTCTGGCCCAGACTTCCTAGGACACTTTCCCTCCCATTTGTACACCTTTACAGCATAGCCATGCAGTGCCCTTGGACTCAGCATAAGGTCAGTGACCTTAGCTCTGTTGAGCTCCCCTTCCACTCCCTGTCCCTTGCATGCAGTGCAGTCCTCCCATGATAGTTTCTGAACTTTTATTACTTCTCACTGTGACTTTAGGAAATAGCTTCTAAGAATGGAATTCCAAGCCAAATTAGGAAACTGCTACTGAGATGCTGCCCATCAATTTCCTAAAGAGCTAATGGTAGTGTCAGGCTAGGCTTTGAGTGAAGAAAGCTGTTCCTACTCCAGGCCAAAGGTGGCCCAAGAGCTGGGAGTCCCTAGCTGCAGAGGTTTCATCATCCAGCACAAATACTGTCCACACAGGCTGAGACCTTGAGATGGGGTGGGGGCTGAGTTCTGTGACCAGGTCTATGACCAAGAGTCAGGAAATGCTGCCCTCAACATGCTAGTCATGGTCACAGCCAGACGTGGGGCAGGACAGGAACTGTTCCCCAACCTCCCTGCCACTGCACCTCCCTGTCCTCCTCCTGGGGGCTCTGTCGGCCTTGGTACCACTGACATTTGCAACTGGTTAACTCTTTTTGTGGGGACTGTCTTCAACTCTAGTGTCCATTCACTCCAAGCACCATCATCTTCTCTTCAGTTGTTGCAACCAAAATTACCTGCAGATACTATTAAATTACCTGCTGATACTACTAAATGTCCCCAGCAGGGGGCAGAAGGTAATGAACTTGCCATAATTGAAAACCAGTGCTCTCGATTGCCCCGTCTGGGGCTTAAACTTTCCATTTTGACTCCTCTTCCTTCTTCTCTATTCTTTTTGTGTGTGTGTGTTTTTGAGACAGGGTCTCGCTATGCACTTCAGTCTGGCCTTGAGCTCACTTTGTAGCCCAGACTTGTCTTGAACTTGCAATGATCCTCCTGCCTCAGCCTCCCAAGTGCTGGGACTACAGGCATGAGCCACCATGCCGGCTCTTTGTTTTTTGTATTTTTGAACAGAGTCTTACTGTGCAGTTCAGGTTGGTCTTGAGCTTACTTTGTTGCTCAGGCTGACCCTGAACTGGCAAGGATCCTCCTGCCTCAGCCTCCCAAGTGCTGGCAGTAGAGTTGTGCATCACCATGCCCAGCGCACATTCTCTTCTACTCTTGGGCCCTGACATCAGTCATTTTTTTTCTGGACTCTGCTGCTTCCAAAATGCTCACTGGAGTCTTCCCAGGAGCAGAACCTATTTCTTAATGCAGCTGAAAACCTCACCTGCTTCTTGTTTCCCCTCACTGTTCCAGTGTCCTGGTCATGAGCCATGTCCCTGTACCGGTGCTCACTGCTAAACCCCACCCCCTTGCCTACAGCGATGCCCACAGAGAGCAGACTGTGTGGGTTACATAAACATGGAGCCTGGTCACCTGGATTCATACCCAGGCTCCGCCTCTTCACTGCTGTGTGACCTGGAGAAACTTTGCTGTGTGTCTCAGTTTCTTCCATCTGTGACCTGGGGTAGTGATATCAACACTTCCCTCCCAGGGTGCTGAGGAGGAAGCAAATCGGTGTATTCCAGGTGGCACTGAGCAGGTGGGAAATGCCTCCCACACTGTGTCCCGTTTCCACTTCTTAGGATCTGGCACAGGCTGTACGTCTACAATTCTGTAGTACCTTCAGTTGCAGAACATACAGTGGGTTATGGACCATGAAGCAAAATAAACTAAAGAGGATCACCAGGTGCAGCTTGATTCAGAAGGTGTAGGCCTAGGGGAAAAGGTGCCGTTGAGGGTTGAGGGAATGTGTGTAGGTGTCTGAGGGAGTCTGTTGAATGACTACATGGCTGTAGCAAGGTGAGAGGGTGGGCAGGCCTGAGAACTTTGATAAAAAGTAGGGAAGGCTGAAGGGTTCAGCCTGTAAGAGAGGTACTGCCAGGGAATGGGAGAACACGGAAGGCTTTCCATCCAACCTTTTGTCATGGGAGGAGGAGACAGGGAAGGAGCCCAGTCCCTGCTTATGCACTCGGGAAACACACAGTCCCATGCCAAGGCCAGCACTAGACCTACTGAGTCAGGTGCTACTTGCTGGACATTTTTAATTTGCCAAGTGACCTAGGAGCCCAACAGGACCCGAGGCAGCCAAAGACAGCTACAAAGGTAGCAACCACCTTCTCCCAGCAGAGGGCCTGAGGCCCTGGACCTCACATGTTTCACTGGAAAGTTCCAGACCCAGCCCTGAGGCCCAGGTGGTGTCCTTGGTCTGGGCAAAGGCTTCTGACTCTTGTGCTTTCTTTGTGCTCAGCAAGAGGGCACAAACTCAGATCCTAGAGTCCTGTGTACTTAACTCCTTTGTGTACCAGTATGCTTAGCGGTGAAATGGGGCTAACAGACCAGCTGGCTCCCTGGAGCCATGGTGAGTGATAAGCCCACAGTGTGGGTGCTCTGTGTGTCCTGAGTGCAGCAGGCACTGGAGCATTCCAGTCATCCCAACAGTGGGAGAGGGCACAGGGCACCTGTGGTGAGATGGGGCTGCACACACAAGGCAGAGGTCTGCATGGTGCTGTGGCCTAAGCAGGCACTCATCGAGGAGAAGCCTGAGATGAGAGGGAAAAACTTTGCCCAAAGCCAGTGCCAAACCTGTAACACAGCCAGCACCATGGTGTGACTGTCTGCATAAGAAACCAGGGCAGGGACAGGAAGATGAAGACCCTGAGGCTCACACAGCATAGTATCTTATCCAGTGCTCTGGGTGGCTGAGTCAGGAAGAGCACACAGGCTCTGGTTTGTTTCACCAGTTTGCTGTCCCTGCAGCTGATCAAGACTGCTGAGCTGGACCCCTCCCGGAACTACATTGCTGGCTTCCACCCCCATGGAGTCTTGGCGGTTGGAGCCTTCCTCAACCTGTGCACTGAGAGCACAGGCTTCTCCTTGCTCTTCCCTGGCATCTGCCCGCATCTGATGACGCTGAACTTGTGTTTCCGTATGCCCTTCTTCCGAGATTACATCATGACTGCGGGTGAGTCTCCCTAACTAGGGAAGCTCAGGAAGGTGAGGCTGGTGGCATGAGTGGCAGGGCATCTTGGGGGGGAGGTTTCCAACAGTTCCATAGTTGGAAAGCATATGAAGGAGGCCAGATCCAAAGAACTCCCTGCAGCACTGTGCTGGCAGGACTCTTGCCTGAAGTGGGGTCCTCTGGAGGGACCTGGGTCTCTTATGCTACTGGTGGTTTCTTACTTGGATCACCCCTTGCCTCACAGTCTTGCTCTCTCATCACACATTCTTCTCCCCGCAGGGTTGGTCTCCGCAGACAAGGAGAGTGCCACTCACATTCTGACCAGGAAGGGCAATGGGAACCTGCTGGGCATCATCATTGGGGGAGCTAGGGAGATACTGGATGCCAGGCCTGGATCCTATAGGCTGGTACTGCGGAAACGCAAGGGCTTCATCAAGCTTGCCCTGACCCATGGGTATGGGACCTCAGGGACAGCATTTGGGGTTCAGTTTGAGGTTGGCAAGGATTATATTTTGGTAAGAAAAGAGCAAAGACCATCAGAGATTCTAATGTGGCTGGGAGACTCTTGGTCCATTCACAATGAAGATTATATTTTAGTTTTTCATACCCAAAAGCCTCAAGAAATTTCCATGAGGGAGTCTCAGAGATCAATGGGACTCATGAGAAGTAGATGTTTTCCTCAAAACTGGCACAAGAGCTGAGACTAACAGGATCTGGAAAAATGAGTTTGGTAACATTTGGGAGAGATGTTACCCTGCTTTGGATTGAAGCATATTTGAGAAACATGAGCCAGCTAGTATGGGAGAGATTTTTCTGGGAGACACATTCAGGTGTTTTATCCCAGGGAGTATTGTCTACAGCACTCTGGGGTGCTGTCATGATTCAAGTAGGAAGTTGTAGGCTGAAAGGACACACCATTTCAGGGAGGGGGTTGTGCCAGGTCTGGTAGCTGATCCAGGTGCTTGATTCCAGCCTTTTGCTCCCACTCCTGGTCACTGCGTCCCTGTGGGAAGCTGAGTGATCTTGTAGTTTATGCCATCTCTTGTTCCCCCTGTATGTAGGGCAGCCCTGGTGCCAATCTTCTCCTTCGGGGAGAATGACCTATTTCACCAGGTTCAGAACTTTCCTGGCTCCTGGTTGCGCCGTGTCCAGAATCAACTGCAGAACACTGTGGGCTTCAGCTTCCCACTTTTCTTTGGCCGTGGTATCTTCCAGTCAAGCTTTGGTTTGATGCCCTACAGTCATCCTATCACCACCATAGGTAAGCCAAGACCAAGGCCAGGAGGTGCAGGACACAGAAAGAACCATAGTCACTACTGATTGCTGAAACCCTGGAATGGGCCAGGGACCACACCTGGCCTAGGTGCAGCTGCTCAGTCTATCCTAATAACCTTTGAAACAGGATTTCATTCATTATTTTTCCATTATTTTTATTACTTTCTTCACAAATATTTCATTGATGGTGAACTGAGGCTCAGAGAATTATGTAGCTTTCAAATGATCAGATTCCTTTTGAATAACAAAGTTCAAGTTTGAATCAGGATCTGACTTGCTATTATGCCAGAGAAGGAAGATTAAATCTGAACCAGTGGACCTAATGAGGCATATTTGGAGAAACCAGATACCAGGAAAGCATTGTAACCATATAATCCTTGTGTGCAAATTAGAAATTCACAGGTTCTGAATTAAAGCCTGAGACAACTTCCTGTGCTAAATGAATCTGAGTTTATATTCATAAAGTTATACCCATCTTTTTCATTAATTAATTTTTATTAATTTGGCTCCTTTTTTGGTTTCTTGCTGGATTCCAATGAAGGTTCTCTGACAAATTTTTCATAGAAAAGGAGTACTTGTCTCATCTCCACCCATGCATTTATTTATCAGTTGATCACAAATTTGGGAATCCCCTACATCATGATGTTCTCTGAATCACGTGACCATACTTCCATGAATTTTAATCCTGCTGCTGCCTCCAGTCATGTTTCAAGAATGAACTTAGGAGCCGCCTTCCTAGCCAGGCAGAGCAAGAGGAAGGTTACATCTTTTTGACTCCCCAGTGTGAAGGGTTGGGGTCTGCAGGTCAAGATGCAGGAGAGTAGGGGAAGAAGAGCTAATCTGGGCTCTGAGTCTCCTGCATCCTAGAAATAGAGAGACTGCCAATGGTGGACCCCCAGAATCAGAGAACCTGGAGGCCAGGAGAACACCTGCAGGGTTTAAAGCCTGCTATAGCTTCTTGCTTATGTGACCTGAAACAAGGCACTTATCTTCTCTGACCCACATTGCCTCACCAGTCTAGCAGGAATAGTGACAGGTTTTGTTCCCATAGGATTTTAAGAGAGAACACATGTTAAGCACACAGCATACTGCCTGACACACTGAAAGCTGGCCATTGATAAATCAATCAGAAACTTGGGGTTGCCCCACTACCTCAGGATCTATCACTTGAAATTAGGGTGAGAAGGGATAGCAGTAAGAACACTTTCCTGCAGAATGGCCTGCTCTAAGGGCTCCTGTGACCCCTGTGGCTCTCCTGTGGACCCCTGCTCACCTCTGTGCCTTGCAGTGGGGAAGCCCATCGAGGTACAGAAGACCCTGCAGCCTACAGAAGAGGAGGTGAACCGGTTACACCAGCACTACATGGAGGAGCTGTGCAACCTTTTTGAGGCCCATAAACTCAAGTTCAACATTCCTGCTGACCAACACTTGGAGTTCTGCTGAGTGCTTCCAGCCAGAGAAAAGGTTACCACAAAGGTCAGGACCAGTTCTTCAGGCCCAGGAGATGGAGCCCAAACTTGTGCCAATGTAACCACTACTGTCGACATGGATGAGAACTCCAGACTTTGCCAGCTTGGTTTTCACTCTTGCATCAAAGCAGACTGCAAGTTTCCCCCAGTGAAATGTCAAAGGACTGAAAAGGGATGTCTTGTGAGACCTCTCTCTTCTGTTGTCATGTCACTCCAAGAGTATAAAAAGCATAAAAGCAGAAAAAGAGAGCAATGACATTTTTCTTGTTTTACCCCCGAGTGATAACATAAAGGAAACCACCAACCAGTCCCCTTGATGCTCCCTCATCCAGCACCCTGAATGTCCCTTCCTCCTCAAATTGGAAAGTGAGGGAGTAGCCAGTAATTCTTGCACTACCCTGTTCACCTTCGTGTTTCTGGGTCCTCTGAGCTCTGAAGGGGATGTGACTCTGGTCAGACTTCATTCTCCCCCACCTCATTTTACCAAGGTTACTGAGATGAAGTCAGAGTCTCAGTTCTGACATCACATAAGCATGAGGGGACGTATTACTCATTTTTGGTGACTTCAGCACCAGGTCTAGGCACAACTGGAAGGCTCTGTAAATGCTAGTTCAATGAATGAAAGGATTCAGGTTTAATTCCCTTCTTTCTTACACACCTCGCAAGGTGACTGGCAGAAATATGAGCTCTGACCTCTAGCCTGGCACTATGATCATGAGTCATCTTCCCCAGGGATGGATCAGACTCACCTGAAGAGATCATATTGATATGTTCCTTCTTGATGCATCACCCCAAGATTTAGGCCAGCACAGAGAAAGAGAAACAAGTGTGAGATGTGTATGAGGAGCATGACACTCTGATAAGAAGAGTTCTGGATTGCTGAGTCAGGAACATGTGTGCGTCGTGAAGGAGGAGGCTGGCTGCTTACCGTACCCTCCTTTTGTCTTGATCACTTATTTCATTGCTGGGACAAAATACCTGATACCCACAACTTCAAGGAAGAAAAGTTTATTTTGGCTCAGAGTTTGCAAAGGTTTCAGTCTATAGTTAGCAGGCTCCAAAGCAAGACAGAGGCATGACTCAGTGGACAGGAAGCAAAATGAGTCGATGGAAGAGCCAGGACATAAATTCTAGCTGTGCTCCCAGTGACCCACCTGTAACATGCAGACCCCACCTGATAAGAGCCAATCAGCTATAACACCTATAATCCAACTACCTTGCAAAAGCTTCACCTATGAATTCATGAGGCTCTTGGAGGACTTCTCCAGGTTAGAAACCATTAATACTCCTTAGTTTTGTACAGGTTGTGCCTACAACATGGGAGAGGAGCATTTGGAGAAGTATTGATTTGGGTTCAGATGTTGCCTTCACTTATTTTCAGTGACCCTAAGCAAGTCATATTGCCTTTACCTCATAAGTATTATAGCGATCCTTCAAAGTATAGTGAGCTGGTCTGGAGTCACTCCATGTACTTCATGGAATGCTACACAGAGTATGTAAATTAGGAGTTGGGTGACATGGATGCCCAATGTCTCCTGGAGGTACCTGTTGTTGTGCCACTGGTCAATGCATTATAAGGGTCCCGGGAGGAGCAGGAAGAAAGAACAGCAGAGTTCTGAGAAGGAAGCAATGACTTTCTGTCCAAGAGAAGTTTAGAGGAAGTGGCCATGGGCAGATCTTTGAAAGAAGGTCAAAGGTAGCAAACAAAATGAGTAGTGCCCCACAGTAGTTATCTACTGCTATGTCGTCACCTCTTTTTCTAAAATAAATTTTATTTAAAGAAAGACAAAACAGAAAATGGGCAGAAATATTACATATTTTCAAAGAAAATAAAAAATAGTAATAAATCACTAGATGATGTATACATATTGTCCCCCCACAAATAATTGTTCAAGATAAAAAGTGGAACATAGAAATGGCAATTCAACCAGGAAGACTGCAAAAAGTTCTGTTCAACTATCCAACAAAAACTAAGTAATATGGCTATCAATCCTATACACTTAGAGTTGTACGCATTTATCCATATCTTCATTTATGTTGAGACCAAACAAAACATAGCAGATTAAAATCATTCTGCACAAAGATTAAGAGTATTGCTGGATTTCACATCATGACACTCCGGAATCAGCACTGGGTACTGCAGTGCCCCTTTGTTTCCTTCGAAGTATTTGTTCATTTCATCATGTGTCATAAGATCAGTTCTCATAAACTGTTTATAGGTTTTACGCATGCATGAGTCTTAACATGTATTTCTATCCTTTCTATATTAGAGGGAGAAACAGAACAAAGCAGGACAGAACTAAACATATTCCTATAGACACATAAAACTAAAAAGACATATAAAACTGCTATATAAGAAGTTCTACCATGGTCTGTGCTGTCTCTTGTTATCATCAACAGAATTCGCTATATCATCAGATAAAGTATAATTGAATATATCAGTACATAACAGGATTAATAGAAATACAACTTTGTAGATAGTGTAGAGCTACAAAAACAGGTAATAATCAAAGCAGAATGGGTATTGTAGTGAATCGTTGTCATTTTCAGTATAATTGTCTATACTCTCTAACTTGATACCATCAACTAACAGTTTTGAATAAAATGTGTCAATAATAAGCAGCAATCAAACAAATCAGATTTAACTAAGATCAGTCATGATACAACAGTATAAGTCATACAAGGATTCAGATTAAGTTAATAGGAAGATGATCACTGTGCTATATCCTTATATCTTCAAGACAGCTCTCTGTGCCTCCAGACCCAGTGCTTTTATACAAACTGGGATGGAACAAGTTCCATCCAAGCAGAGTGGTGCAAGTAATAAGAGTTTTAATTTCTGATACACTATTAGCAATATCTTCTGCTATTTTTAAAAGACTATTCCTCCCTTTCACTCCATAGGATGTACTGTGTATTTTTGGGTCTCCCCAACACTCTCAGTTTTTTATTGGGGGGGGGCAACCTGTTATTTACCTAAGTGTTTCCAAACATTCTCACTCCTAGACTTGATTTCTAGTTGTATTTCTTTACTTATTAAAGCCTATCTTTTCAACCTATTCATAAATACTGGTCCAGTTACCCTGATTACTCTCTAGTTCCCTGTCACACTGAGTTCTGTTTTCTCATATTTGATTTTGGTCCATAGACCCTTCTTCAGATTAATTATATTTCCTATAAAGAGCATCTCGGTGGACCCTACCTCTTGATCCACTCTGCCTGTGATTCTCTCTTTCTTCCCTTAACTTAGTGTATCTAGGCCATCTATATTAGAAATTATATCCAACTTTCTCTGCCTCATTTTTGTTATGCTCTTGTTCTGTCATTAATTGTCTGTCTTCTTCATTTCACTTTTTGCTCCATTCATTGGGGCCTCTCTGCAACTATTCCTGAAATCCTGGTGCTTTTCTCTCTCTTTAGAATGTTCTGTAGTATTCTCTGTAGAGTTGGATTGGTGGTTGCAAATTCCCCCAGTTTCTCTTTATCTTGAAAGCATCTTTTTCTCCATTAATTTCTAGGGACAGTTGTACAGGATACATCAATCTGGGCTGGAGGTTATTTTCTTTCAAGGCTTGGATTACTTCACCACACTGTTATTGATTTGATGGTTTGTGCGGAGAAGTCTGCCATAATTCTGATGGATTTTCCTTGTCAGTGATCTGTTTCTTGTCTCTGACAGCTTTTAATATTCTGTTCTTATATTGGATTTCTGGGGTCTTGATTATTACATGCCTGGGTGTAGTTCTGTTTTGGTTGTAGGTGGCTGGAATTCTGTATGCCTCATACATCTGAGTACCTTTTCCTTTTCCTATGTTTGGGAAGTTTTTCTTAATTATTTCTGTGAATAGCCTTTTTTTTCTTTTTTTTAAAATTTTATTCAAGGAGAAAAGAAAAAAAAAGCAGAGAAAGGGTACAAGTTATACAGATTTACAGAAAAAAAATGAACAGTAGGAAATCACTAGTTAATGGATTACATATTGTCATCTTAGAAATAATTGTTCAAGTCACAGAATTAAAGCTTGTAAAGTGGACATTCCAACAATGATACTGCAAACAGTTCTGTTCAATGATCCAATAAAACTCTGTGATATCATTTTCTATCTTATACACTTAAATATACATGCAGTTATATAGTTTAGAGCACTTTCTTTTCCTCTCTTTTGTACAATGACTATTACACATTTTGGGTTTCATTGCTCCCACAGTTCTTATTACTTTTTTGGAAGAGAGTAAAACCAAATGTGACATAACAGAACAGAATCGGTCAAGTCAAAAGGGTGGACATAATAGATAATGTAAAAACATAATACAAGGTGATCAACAATGGTTACCATAATGCCTCCCGCTATCTCTAATAGAATTGCCTATATCATTAGTTATAATAAAATTGAACAAAACAGTAAAGAACAAAACCGACAAAACCAAAACATTGGAGACATTGTAGGTCTTCAAAAGTAGATAAAAGTCAACGAGAATGGGCGTTATAATAAATTTCATTATCTTCACAGCTGATGCCTAAACTTTCTTTTTTTTTTTTTAATTTAAGAGAAAAAAGAGAAAAACACAAAACAAACCAAAGTGGTGTAAGGGTACACGTAATACAGAACTACAAAAAAACAAAACAAAAACAAACAAACAAACAAAAAAAACATAACAGTAAGAAATCACCTGTTAGTATATTACATATTATCATCTTGAAAATAGTTCCTCAAATCACAGTATCAAAGAATACAAGGTGGACATTCAAACAGGTAGACTGCAAACAGCTGTGTTCAATGATCCAAAAACATTGATATAGTCAGCTATTTAACACCCCTAAACACACTTGCTGTTATATCCGTTAGAGCTCTTTTTCTTTTTTTTTTCCCTCTCTTTTTTACAACAAAATTCACGCACTTTGGATTTCATTACTCCTTAGTGCTTATTACTTTTTTTGGGGGGGGGGGAAGAATACAGTCAGATATGGCAAAACAAAGCTGTCAGTCAATACCAAGGATAGACATAGCACATGGTGTAGAACAGAGTACAAGTTTATCAACAATGGTTATCAACGTTGTCCCTTGTTTCCTTAAAAAGAATTGTCTATCTCATTAGATATTATAAAGTTGGACAAAACAGTAGAGAACAAGACCAATAAAACTTAGGCATTGTAAACATTACAGGACTTCCAAAGAAGACAATAGTCAAACCAGAATGGGTATCTTAGTGAATCTTATTGTCTTCAAAGTAGTTGCCTATGTCTTCAAACTTGATACTACCTTATAGAATGGAACAGAGTCTAATCAGTCAAAACAAGATCGTGGGAGTACTACAGGACTTCAAAACAAGTTAATAGGAAATCAAAAAGAGTTACTATTTATATATCCTAATTTTTTGAATTTTTTCTTTAATTAAGACAAACATAAGAAATGACTAAATAATTTTTTTAAAACAATAAGGGGGAGATTGAGATAAAACAGGACATAACAATATAACAATAGAGGTCACAGCATGACTGTTTCAACAACCTAGTACTTCACCACCATATAACCTGACTTAATAGTAGTTACCATAGTGTCTTTTTCCTTGATATATTTGGATAAAACTTCATATACTCTAGCTTCAAATATTTTCAAATCAAGAAGCCCAGAATAAAGCCTTTCTAATTAATGAGTGAAAACTTTATAAAGCTCCGAGGCCACCTAATGGGGAATCATGATTACCACATATTTTTATATATTTGAATCATTACTTACATTAGGGAAACTATTCGGTATTCACACATGCGAGATTGATTTTTTACACTTATGAGTATGGTCTCAAGCTGCGCCCATTTATTGATAAATATCTCAATGTGATCCTTCTTTATAACTGAATAATACTCCATTGTATAGAAATACCACAACTTTTTTATCCATTCCTCAGTTGATGGACACTTGGGTTGTTTCCAAGATCTGGCGATTACAAATTGTGCTGCTATAAACATAGGTGCACATATATCACTGTGATATGATGCTTTCAGTTCTTCTGGGAATATGCCTAGAAGTGGAATAGCTGGAATAAATGGGATTTCCAGTCCCAACTTTTTGAGAAATCTCCAGACAGATCTCCACAAAGGCTGTACCAGTCTACACTCCCACCAGCAGTGCAGGAGAGTTCCTTTTTCCCCACAGCCTCTCCAGCATTTGTTGTCGGTTTTCTTGATCCTGGCCATTCTTTCAGGAGTGAGATGGTATCTCAGTGTGGTTTTAATTTGCATTTCTCTAATGACCAATGATGATGAGCATTTTTTCATGTATTTATTTTCCATTTGCATTTCTTCATCTGAGAATTGCGTATTCATCTCAGATGCCCATTTTTGGATTGGATCTTTGAATTTTGGAGGTCTGAGTTTCTTTAATTCTTTATATGTTTTAGACAAGAGGCCCTTGTCTGAGAGAGAGTTCACTAAAATCTTTTCCCAGTTTGTGGGTTTTCTTTTCACTATGCTGGAGATTTCTTTTGACATGCAGAAACTTTTTAATAAGAAGTGGTCCCAGTTATTGATTCTGGGAAGTATTTCCCATGCAGTTTGAGTCCTGTTCTTTACCTACTGCTATGTCTCCAAGGTTTCTACCTAATTTGTCTTCCAATAGATTTAGTGTTTCTGTTTTAATATTCAGATCTTTGACCCATTTAGATTTTAATTTAGTACATGGTGATAGACATGGGTCTAGCTTTAGTTTTCGGCAAATGGAGAGCCAGTTTTTCCAGCACCATTTATTAAAGAGACTGTCGTTCTTCCAGTGAACCTGCTTGGCTCCTTTATCAAAGATAAGGTGGTTGAGTGTGTTCGTAGTTGTGGTTGTATCTTCTAATCTATTCCACTGATCTTCAGCTCTGTTTTGATTCCAATACCATGTTGATTTTACTACTGTTGCTTTGTAGTATAACTTCAAGTCAGGGATTGTGATGCCTCCTGCTTTGTCTTTGCTGCTTAGAATTGCCTTTGCGATTCTAGGTCTCTTCTGGTTCCAGATGAAATTTAGGAGTGATTTCTCTAGATCTATAAGGTATGTTGATGGTATTTCTATTGGGATTGCATTGAATCTGTATAACAGTTTTGGGAGAATGGCCATTTTCACAATGTTTGTTCTTCCTATCCATGAGCAAGGGATGTCTTTCCATTTTCTGAGATCATCTTCAATTTCCTTTTTCAGTGTATTATAATTTTCACTGTATAAGTCTTTCACTTCTTTCGTAAGAGTAATTCCTAAATATTTCATTTTTTTGCTTGCTAATGTGAATAGTCCAGTTTCTCTTATTTCCCTCTCTGTAATTTTGTTGTTCGTGTATAGGAATGCTATTGATTTCTGAGTATTGATTTTGTATCCAGCCACATTACTGAATTTATTTATTGTATCTAAGAGTATTTCAATGGAGTTTAGGGGGTCTTCTATGTAGAGTATCATGTCATCTGCAAACAATGATAATTTAACTTCTTCTTTTCCTATCTTTACCCCTTTTATTTCTCTTTCTTGCCTAATTGCTCTGGCTAGTACTTCAAGTACTATATTAAATAGGAGTGGTGATAAAGGACATCCTTGTCTTGTGCCCGATTTTAAAGTAAAGGCTTTCAATTTTTGGCCATTTAGTATGATGCTGGCTGTTGGTTTGTCATAAATGGCCTTTATTATATTGAGGTAAAGACCATTTATTCCAATTTTCTGTAAAGTTATTATCATGAATAAGTGTTGGACCTTATCAAAGGCTTTTTCTGCATCTATAGAGATGATCATGTGATTCTTATTTTTGGCTTTATTGATATGGTGGATTACATTTATTGATTTGCATATGTTGAACCATCCTTGCATTCCTGGGATGAATCCCACTTGGTCATGGTGTATAATCTTCTTGATGATTTGCTGCATCCTATTTGCCAATATTTTATTGAGGATTTTTGCATCTGTGTTCATTAGGGAGATCGGTCTATAGTTCTCTTTTATAGTTGGGTCTTTCTCAGGTTTGGGTACTAGAGTAATATTTGCTTCCAGGAATGACTTAGGAAGGATTGCTTCCCTTTCAATTTCATTGAGTAGTTTGAGGAGTGTCAGCATTAGGTCTTCTTAATATTTCTTGTAGAATTCTGCAGTGAATCCATCTGGGCCTGGGCTCTTCTTGGTGGGTAAGGCCTTAATTACATTTTCAAGTTCATTAGCAGAGATTGGGTTATTCAACAGTTTTATATCCTCTTGATCTAGCTTTGGTACTTCATATGCTTCTAAGAATCTGTCTATTTCTTCTGTGTTATCAAACTTTTGAGAGTAGAGGTTTTCGAAATAGGTGTTGATGATCCTCTGTATTTCTATTGGGTCTGTAGTGACTTCTCCTTTTTCATTTCTTATTGCATGAATTTGAGCTTTTTCTTCCCTTTTTTAAATAAGGTTGGCTAGGGGCTTATCGATTTTATTTATTCTTTCAAAGAACCAACTCTTTGATTCGTTGATTCTTTGGATTGTTTTCTTAGTCTCTATTGCATTGATTTCTGCTCTGATTTTTATAATTTCCGCTCTTCTTTTGGCTTTGGGCTTGACTTACTCTTCTTTTTCTAGCTGTTTGAGGTGTAGCATCAAGTTATTTATTTGTATTTGTTCTGTTTTCCTGATGTGGGAACTCAGTGCAATAAATTTTCCTCTCAGAACGGCTTTCATTGCATCCCACAGATTCCGGTAAGTTGTATCTGCATTTTCATTTTCTTTTAGGTATTGTTTAATTTCTTCTGTGACCCACTGATTACTCAAGAGTGTGTTATTTAGTTTCCATGTGTTTGTGGAATTTTTGCAGTATCTTTTGTCATTAATTTCTAATTTCAGAGCGCTATGATCCGATAACATGCAAGGGATGATTTCAACTTTTTTGCATTTGCTTAAATATGTTCTGTGAGCTAATATATGGTCTATTTTAGAAAATGATCCATGTACTGCTGAGAAGAATGTGTATTCTGATGTTGTTGGGTGGAACATTCTGTATATGTCTATCAAACCTATTTGTTCACAGGTGTGATTCAGTTCTGTTATTTCTTTGCTCATTTTCTGTCTGGTTGATCTGTCCCTTGGTGTCAGTGGTGTATTAAGGTCTCCTGTTACAATTGTGTTACTGATAATTTGAGTTTTCATTTCTGTTAATAATTGTTTTATATAACTGGGTGCTCTGGAGATTGGTGCATATATATTTAAGATAGTTATCTCTTCCTCTTGGAGTTTTCCCCTTACGAGTATGTAGTGACCTTCTTTGTCCTTTATGGTCATTGTTGGTTTAAAGTTCACGCTGTCTGCAAACAGAATGGCTACTCCTGCCTTTTTTTTGATTCCTGCTGCATGAAGAATTGTTTTCCATCCTTTGACTTTCAGTCTGTGAGTATCCTTCTGGGTTAGATGGGTTTCCTGTAAACAGCATATGGTTGGATTTTGTTTCATGATCCATTCTCCTAGTCTGTTTCTTTTGATTGGTGCATTGAGACCATTTACATTAATG